ATATTAATTTTATCATAACCTGATCCAACAACAAAACGTTTACCATTCGGTACAGAACTTACAAAAGTAGGTTCATCACGTAATATTGGATTTGTATTATATTTCCCACTACAACTTGGATCAACTGATTGAGCTGTATGAATAACAGCTAGTAGACAAAATAAAAGACTAATACTTTTCATGATAATAGATGTGTGATAGAATGGTTTCTTTTGTTAGAAAAGAAGTGAAGACAAAATGACAGAAGGTTTGTTCTCATAATCGTTGACTTATATAAAAATACGCTTATGTTATCGGTGAATATATTTGTTTTTAGTATACACTTTCTCATGATGATATTCGACTTTTTTTAATATAAAAGAATAATTTGATCTAGTTAAGGACAAAGAATACGCTTTACTTTTTGTTTATGAGAATTTCAAAATGATACTTATTTTTAATAAGTTAAAATATTTACTTCATAATAAAGTCAATAGATTCTTTTGTGATATGAGGAAAGTAATCATTCAGTATAGTTTTAAATATATTTTTATTCTAAAGATTAAAACAATAAAGAAAGCATCTAACATCAAACTATCATTATAAATGAAACAACATTATTAAATATTGCAGTGCTTATCATTGCTATTTTCCTTGTATTTTATATTTCTTTGGTGTTCTAGTAAAAGATATAATTATTAAATTAAATAGCTAACATAAAATAAAGAAATACATTTAAAAACATTTTATTTATTTTGGTGCTGGTTCAGCAAATAATTTAGCCATGTCAAGTCTTGTATGAACTCGATTAAAAGCTTCTAATGGCCCTTGTGGGTCATCAGGAGCACTATAAGCTAGATAGGCAGCATTTTCAGCATAATCAAGTACTAAATTAAGCGTATTGCCTGTTCTTAATTGACTAGTAATATTTCGAATAATGGTTGGTGCATCAAGATGACCATAATGTTCAACTAATAAACTACCTAAACATGTATCATTCGAAGGTTGAGGGTGTGGATCCCAATAAACAACATCATCTAATATTGGATGATTTGGTGTATTATACATATCTTTCCAGGAGAAGACGTTAAATTCTTTTGCACTATATTCAATACCAAGAAAATCGATTGTTTGATCACTAGCTATTGAAGTATTTCGATGATATTCTCCAAGACCAAGATGAACTGAACAAGTACGTTTAGCATTCACAAGCATAGTTAGTACAGTATCTATTGTATTAGAAAATTGAACAACATCTCGAAGAACATATGTCCATGGATTTCCAAATCGTGATGTTATATCTTGTTCTTTTGTAATCCAAACTTTTTGACCTAAACCAACGGAAACTTCATTATAAGCACCAATCGATCCAATAAGACCAAGATAACCAAAATTAGCAAATGTATAAGAACCCGAATATTTTTGTTTATAATAATCATGAAAATGATTTTCATAACCTTCATATGATGTATTTGGATGATAAACAGTTACTGTAGCATATTTAGCAATGGGTGCCTTTTCATCCCAATCTAATGAACGAAGATGAAGTAATGTTGTTTTCGACAACGTCGATTGACCCCATGCTCCTATAACAGAACAAGCAGCTTTGATTAGTTCTGGAAGTAGATTGAGTCGACGAATATTTTCATAAGATATACCACTACCAGCAGCAAGACCTCGAAGTTCTTCATCATACCATGGTGGAGTATAAAAACGTGTAATTTCATAATTAAGATCAAGAGCACCTAATAAACCTAATTCAGCAATCCATTTTGCAACTAACTATTCAAATAAGATACGTTTATATTTCTATATAAGAAAAAAGATAATTATATTTACTGGTGGTAATGTCTTAATCAAATCTTCAATTTTGTTATCCAAATAAGCAAAATATTCAGGAACAAGATGTTGTAAATCTTCACTCATTAATTTACCAAGTGCAAGACCCATGTCATATGGTGTACCACCATAAAGATGTACAATATTAATTTTATCATAACCTGATCCAACAACAAAACGTTTACCATTTGGTACCGAATTTACAAAAGTTGGTTCATCGTGTAATATTGGATTTGTATTTATGATACCTTTACAGCTAGGATCAACTGATTGAACCTGAGAAATAATTGCAAGAATACAGAATAATATAAAATAATTATTATTCATGATTATGACTGTTAGTATGATTAGTAAAATTGAAATAAATATATAGCAGCTGGTTTATTCTCTCAGATATAAATATATATATATGTATATATTAAATATATAGGCTAAATTTTATTTTAAAAATGCAAATAAATGCCCAAATACGAGAGAAAAAAAATACGAATATTCATGAACCTAATTCACATCAATCTTTCATATATTTTGCGAATAAGAAACCTATTTTCACACACATATCAATACAACCGGGCTAATTATAGCCATCGATAATGAAACGAAGAGAGAAAAAAAAGAAAAGTAACGTTGTGCAATTGGAAGCAGCAACAATGAGAACAATAAAGCCTATATACATTTGCACAAACCAAACAAAGGAAAAGAAAAGTGCGTGCTATAGTACATTCTATCTATCTCAAAAAAAAAAGAGAATTATTAAAAAGACAAAACAAAAAGGAGAATTGTGAGCATATATAAATAAATAAATAAAATATACGAAACAAAAAACAATTGCACAAACAAAAAAATTTTCATGTGCAAAATTTGTTTCAAATCTCATTGATATTCAATAGAGGAGAAAAGAAAAGAAACTATCAGTGTTTAATGAGTTGATGATCTTGTATTTGAAGTTAATTGATCGATTACACCAGGAGCAAAAACTCGACGTGCTGCTTTCAATACTGCTTCTCGAGTAACAAGATTTGGTTGTGAAGTCCAATTATTAGTTTTTGATAATGTTGAATGATAAGGATTCATAGTTTGATACATTAATACTGAATTTGTATTATTACTCAATGTTGATACCATACTATTTGACCAACGTCCTGTATCAGTTAATAATTGATTTGCTGGTGTTGTTGTTTCAATAGATTCATACAATCTTGGAGTATTACGATTAATTGTACGAATATTTCTTACAGCTGGACCAACATCAGCAACAGATAATTTCGTAAAATCAATTGTTGATGTTTTCATATGTTGATTTTGTTTATCATTTATATTTGATATTGGAAGTAATGACATATATTCAAGTTGAGTTCGTCGTAATTGTTTTAATGTTTGTTCCATTTCAACTACATCACTATCTGTATCACTTAATCGATCAATTTCATCATCATCATGATAACCATTTTGATGTTTATTAACAGATCCTTCTGTAGTTAAATTTTCATCATCATCATCGTCATCTTCATTTTGATTATGATTACTTGTTGTCAATGATTTACGAACAATTGATGATTTCATTTGTCGATTACTATCATCAATTGCTTTCAATTGTACTTCAGCATCTTGTAATTTTCGGTCAACAGATGCTTTATCTGCACGTAGTTGATCTATTGTTCGTTGTAATGTTGAATGAAGATTATCTTTCTATAAAATATACAGATTATTATAATCTAGTTTTAATTCAAATCGAGATTTTATCCATAGAATTCTTTTCATAGTTTTATTTGATTGTATATTTCAATGAATCTGTATTATTTTATTTGAATCAGGAGTTATTTAAAATAAACCTCTTACTGTATTGTTCAATGATAATGATCTCATTCAATTTCGGATAGACGAATCTATTCAGGACTCTATCCTGATGAGATTTGAAGACAAAAAAGTAAGATCATATGATCTGGTATTGTTTCAATGAATCTCTCTAAGTTTGATTGTCATTCATATAATCAATATTTACATAAGTAAAATATCCTTGAATTATATATATACACTGAAATTATGAGGTCAAAGATAGTTTAGACTAAACAATACCTCTTTCATATGTTTTTCTAATTTATCTCTATCTGCTTTCGCTTGTTCATAACGTCGAGTCAAATCATCAATTTCATTTTTATGTCGATTTTCCATTTGACGTAATTTCTTGAAAAAAAAAGAATATTAAAAAAAAGATAATTTTTTTTTTCTAGAAATCAAACCTCTTCATAATCATTTTTATCTCGTGCAAGTTTATCTTGTACAGAACGAAGTTGTGAACTTAGATTACTTTGTTGTTCAAGTGTACCTTTATACACATCGAGATCAGATTGCATACTTGCCCTGAAAATTTGATTCTCAGTCTTATATAATAAAATATATTTTGTTTTTTGATTACCGTAATTTTTTTTGAAGTTCATCTTTTTCTCTTTCAATTGTTTGTTTCATTTGATTGATTTCTTCTTGTTTTCGAATTTCTAATAATTTTTTTTCTTGTACAATACTATCACGTATATCATTTTCAATTGAACTAAATAAATAAATTTAAATTATGTATAATTAGTTTATCTAAGTTTTACTTTAAATCAGCTTTCATTTTATCACGTAATGTTCGTTCTTGTTTTTCTTTATCTGAACGTAATTCATTTCTTAATCTTTCAAGATATTTATCATTCTCTTCAAGTATTTGTAATTTTTCTTCATTCGTAGATCTTATTAAAAATAAAAAATTAATCTCATAAGAATATATATGTGTATTTACTGTTCAAGTCGCATTCGAAGTTTTGTTAAATCAACTTCTTCACGTGGAGTAATAAATGTATCTTCCTATTAAAGATTCTATGATAAGAAACTAATTAACAATAAAATTTCTATTTACATTAGTTAAAGTAGTTTCTGGTTTATGTACGGTTCCATTTGATAGACGACGTAGTGCAGCTTCAGCAGCTAAATCTGCACGTCTTTTACGTTCATTATCTTCATCATCATCATCAAAATCGTTTTGATAATCATGTTTTTTATCTAAAAAAATAGATTTAGTTTTTATATGAAAAAATAATTTCTATATAATATACCAGTATTTTCCATTGAATTTAATGAACGGGATGCAGCAAGTGCAGATGCTGTAATAGCTTCTTTTTCACCATGTTCAATACGTGCAGAAAGTAATGGATCTATACCAAAATCAACTCTTCTTCGAAAATCATCACTACTTTGTTCATCATCATCATCTTCACTATTTATTAATTCTTCTTCAATTTCATCATTATCACTGTTAACATATTGAGAATCTAAGAAAAATTTAAAAAAATAAAAAAAAATACTTCCATTGTTTCTCTTTTATTACCAATTTTATTCCCTTGTACGACATTTCTTGTAACGACAGGTGTATTATAATTATTTCCCATTGTATATGGTCTTTTCCCGCCTGATATATAATCACTTACAGTCGATGAATCTGTTTTAGTAAGAGTACCTGAAATATTTTTTTATATGAAAATCACATCTAGAAATTATTAATTAAAATTTACCTCTTGGATTTGTATCAAGTAGATTTGATGATGATGATTGTTTTCGGCTAAGAAATATAAATTTAATATAAAAGAAAAAGGTTTTTTTCTGAGATACTACTCACCGTTCTTCAACAACATGTGCTTTATAAATTTCATCACATGGATGATCCCATGATGATTTACCAGTATCAAAATTAAAATAATATAATTCACCATTCTCTTCTTGACATGGTTTCCATCCAGGTGGTAATGGTTTTAAAATACCTTCTTTCGCTAACCAAAGAAGATTAGGTTCCTATGATAAAAAGAAACTTTTCTGAATGTTTTTCGTTTTTCGTATAATTTTACTTTCTCAGGATCAATACCAATATAAATCGCATATTCACGAATTTCTTCTTGAGTTGGTTCATAAGTTTCATCAAATTGTTCTTGTAAAATTGTTTGATTATTTATTTTATATTCCGGAAATGTGATCATTGTTAAATATGAAGTGTCTTTTTATTCTCCTTTTTTTCTTCTCTTCTTCTTCCAGTGACAAAATAAATTTTGTATACAAAATTTTGTAACAATTGAAGCAGTTACTTTTTCTTTAATTCTTTCAATGCCCCGTTAAATCAGCAAATTGAAGGCCTTCTTATTTTTATTTCATACCCTTACTTTCTCTTTTCTTTTTTTTTTGTTCTTTCCATCCTATTTCATAGCACTGATTGTTGTCAAAGGAGACTAACTCTTCTATACTTTTAAATTCCACCAGATGTCAGTGATAAACATAATGAATAATAACTATATACGCCCTTTTCTATTAGTTTTAAAACTTGAATCATTTTATTTTTTCGAGCTTTTTTCATACTCATAATAACAAAATATGCATGAATAAAATGAGAGTTATTATATAATGCTATTTAACCATGAACAAAACGTTTGCCATGAACAAAACGTTTTTCAAGAAGATCATCACTGCTATCAGCATCGTCGCTGATTGATCGACCATGGACAAAACCTTTTAAATAAGCTCTACAATAAAAAAAAATATGAATTATTCTTTGATAACAAAATAAATTTAAATATACCTTTTAGTAAACAAGTGATTATTAGTACAGAAATAGTGACAAAGTTTATGTAGATCATCATTTGCTTCATTCGATGTTGAAGGTTCTTCATGAAGAATAGTTCTAAAGATTTTTTGAAGATAAAAAATACTTTCATAAGACTAAATTTATTCTTACTCTGTTTTAGAATCCGATGACTAGAAAAATAAATATATATATATATATAATATTAAACTTAAATAGATAGGTATTTAAACTTACAAGAGATACAGAACAAACTGTAGTGAAGAGTAGGAAGACCATGCATATGGCCATAGTGAATCGGACAATAGTATTAGTTTGCATGATGTTGTAGTGTTTACTCGAGATGAATGATAGAATAAATGTTGTTTGAACTATTACTTTCCACTTATAAAATAACTCAACAAAACAAGATGAGAAAAAAAAGAGATCGATGAGCGTAGGACGTGTTTTCTCTCATCATACAGGAATGCTCGAAAAAAAAAATAATTTTTTTTCTTCTATAATGATCAACAATCATTTATTTTATTATCACTTTAGAGACATCGATATATGTATATATATATATATATTATCGGAAAGTGAACCTAGTCGAATTAATATAATTATGTTTTCGTCAATTAAAAAACTATTAAAATTGATCGAATAATTTAATGATAAACTTATATATATCGATCATTTTCATGTTAATATATTCATTTGTTTTATTCGAATATGAGTTTTTAATTTTAGAATTATTTTCCTATGATTCATATTAGAATAGATATATGTTTCTCCGAATTTTCTAATTCGTAAATTTATTACTTTATCTTCGATTAGTTGTCTCTTGAGTATAATTTACATCGACTATGACAACAAGTCATACTCAAGAGATAACTGATGTTAACTTAAACATAAATTAATAAACTTCGGCATAAGATATATATATGAATGAATCGATTTTATTTAATAGTAAAAAAATGCTAAATTAAAAATAATAAAATAACTAAATGGAATATAGAATATATCCGCTTGATTAAATATATAGTTTGAGCCAATAGATGTATGTTAATTGTTAATTTTTCCTTTTTAACTTAAAACAAGTTTTTTATTTTCACCAGCTAATGATGAATGATCGCCTAAAATAGATGCTTTAGCTAATCCATATAATTTTTTCATGATCGATGCTGATGAATCCCAATATTCGGCTTCGACAATAGTAATACTAAAAATTATAATTAAAAAAAGTTTATCTAATCTAGAAATATTTACCGTAACAATGCTAAATCGAGATCTTCAACGCCCTTTGGAAACCTATAATTACAAAGATATATATAATTTTTATCTCTGTTATATTATCAGATGTACCAAGTTTTAAGAGAATCATTCCATAGATCTTTCTTTTTTGTAATATCATCAACCAAATCAGCATGACCACTAATTGAAACATCTGAAATGAGTTCAAATAGTTCATAAGAAAATGAGTACAATAGTTATGGTATTTACATGATTGTAGTTCAGGAGATGAATAAGATACATTAACTTCTTCTGAACCTTTTTTTACTTCTGTAACTTTATGTGCTAAAATATAATAATGAACAAAATATTAGATCTATCAAACAAGATATTTTACCGCTTCGTTGTGTGAAAAACCAAAGTTCACCATGAAATGAATCAGCTTGTTTGTTAACCATTGGTCTTAAATAAATAAAGTAATTAAATTAAATTTTTAGGAAAATAAAACTTACCGACTATGAAGCGTACCATCTTCATTAACTGTTGTTAACATTGCAAATTTAACATTATGAATAATCCTGAAAAGTTTTTCAAGATCTTTTTCATGTTCAGTATTTGTTTCTGTCATTTTATTTTTCTAATCTAAAATTTAGATTATATATAATTATTTAAAGCAGGAATATAAAAGCATTCTCGAAATATTTAGTAATACATTGCTAAAAGATAAAATAATTATTCTCTTGAATAAATTCAAAAACCAAAAAAAAGTGAAGAAAAGTTTAATTAGAAATATGCCATTTTAATTCTCTAATGCATCAGCTTGTTTTAATTTTTTTTCAAGTTCACCTTTTTTCTCTAATCTTTCGGTATCATCACCACCACCAATACATTCTCCATTAATGAATACACGAGGAACTGTACTTGCATTTGTCATTTCACCAAGTATATCTTGATATTTATCTCCATCACTCATATCATCAAGTTCGATGACTTTATAATCTTTTATTTTATACTTACCAAGAACCTTTTTTGCTTTTGTACAATATGGACCTTCGAAAAAAAATCGAAATTTTTCTTTCCAAAAAAAAAAATAAAGAAAATCTTATCACTTACAATAAGTTTTAGAAAAAACAATAACTTTATGATCTTGAATCAATTGTTTAATTTTAGTATTTAAATCATCTGTGTTATTTTTATCGTCTGAACCAGTGGATGACATGATGTGATCAAGTAAAAACTTTACTGAAATAAAATGTTGACTTGATAGTGCAAAAAAGATAAAAATAGTATCTAGAAAAACAATGAATCATCATTTTAAGGATATAAAGAAAAGATAAGCCACATAGGCAAAAACGACATTACTTATTTTGATATGAGTAAGATTAAAATAAATACGTGTATATATCGGCAAGCTTTAATGACGACGAACAACACGCTTGAATAAATTTTATCTTATGCAAAGAAGAATAACAGAATCTAATCTATTTTATTAGTTCATGATTAGATAAATTTAAAAAAGAAAATTATCGTTCTCAGATTTATAATTCTTATATCAGTTGTATTCATTCATTAATACAACAACCTATGATTTGTTATAATTATTACAAATCTCATCAGATTTTCTTCGAAAAATGTCGAATTTTTACTTTAGTTAAAGTGCAATTTAATCATCAATGATAATTTAGCTTTATTTGATATTGAGGAAGAAAAATAAAATTTTGTAAAAACAAATCTTTATATTGTAATTATGAAGAACCAATCAAAAATTGAAACTATTAAGTTTGTTTATCAAATAGTACTAGATCTTACGTTTGTTTTCGTTTAACTGAAAAATTCACTACCAACTAGAAACAATCAATAATTCATAATGAGTTATTACTTATATCTATATATCATATTCATTTTCTAATTAAATGCAAAAAGATCAAATCATTTGTTTTTCTTAATTTTATAACAAAACATTTTTACTGTTCTTATTCATGATTATAAATAGAAAACAGTAGCAAATAACTAGCTTACATAATAACTTTTTTTTTCTTTAATGTTGTAAACTTTTGTTATTTTCGATCGCTAATTGATCAAATGATGATTCAAGTGTATGAATTTTTAAATAATCAATTTCAAGTGGATGTAATTTACCAACAATAACAAGTGAATGTAATGGACGACCTAAATCAACTTCATCAGCCATTCGACGTAAAGTTGTTGTTTGGAATTTTTCATCTGACCAACCAATACGTGCTGCACCCACACATAATGTATTATCATTGATTACTAAAATAAGTCAATTATAAATCATAGCTTTTTAAAATATATACAAGTTTAGTATTAAGATTAAATTAGCATAGTGGCACTTAACCCCTCGGAATGTATTCATTCTACTTCTGCTAAAACTTCAGTCAATGAAAGTATACATACGATCTTCAACTTGTAATTCTTTAGCTGATTCAAGAATTTGAGAAGCTGCTTGAGAAGTAGTCATAAAACGAGGTGGTAAATATGTTTTCTTTTTTCTAAAATAGAATAATTATAAAAACAATTTTTTTGATTAATGATTTTATATAAATAATATACTTCATGTAACTAGCTTCATCTTGTTCTTTAACCTTAATATCTAAAATTTAGAGGAATTTATAAAAAAACTATTCAATTAAAAATTATTCTTTACCTAATAAACAAAGTGTATGTAAACCACGTCGTCGATTTTCAATAATTTTTTCACAGAAACTTGTTGGTCGCCATGTATCTGTCCAGAAAACAATCGAGACTGTTTCACCAAAGTGATATAACTATACAAATACACATTTATTTAATTCATTTTAAAGAACATATATATATATATATATTTACCTGTAATCCACAACTACCAATTGCATTCATAATTGATGCATTATGAATAATTTTATAAGGAATATTAAGTTCAACAGCACGTAAAATTAAATCTGTATGAGTTGTTGCTGAAAGTGGATCTCCACCAACAAGAAATGCAACATCATGTTCTCGAGCATTTGCTAATATAGTATCTTTAGAAAACAAGAAACGAATTAAATCTTAATAATTCTTTGCAAAAAAATTTTTATTTATTTTACCAGCTGAAAGTTCAACAAGTTCTCTATCAGCTGGTAAAATAAATAAAAATTTTTTTGCAAAGAATTATTAAGA